GGCATAATAATACATGCTGATGGTTTTTAAGCACTTACTGTGTTTCAGGCACCATTCTGAACGTGTCACGTATATTAATTTTTTCAGTCCTCATAGTAAACCTATGAAGTAGACACTGTTTGTGGTAGTGAGTCTCAAAGATGGCCCTGAAGAGACATGGGGAAAGGCCATGGGGAAGAGGGGAGGCTCAGAGACTGGAAGAGTCGGGAGTGGCCCAGATGGCCTGGTTTGGGGGTTACACTCAAGTCTCCAGAGGACCCAAACTAGTCACCATTTGACTGCACTTGCATGAAACATCCTCAGGCAAGACCAGCAGAACTGCTCGCTGAGCCCAGGGAGCCCACAGAACTGTGAGAGGCAGTAAAATGGGGGCGGGTGGTTTTACGCAGCAACAACCCCCTGAGACATGACCTGTACTGGGACTGAGCTCAAAGCCTTTTCCTCTCCACAGTTCCCCCGCATGGACACTGGGATTCCCCCACAGAACCCTTCCAGATGCCGATTAAATCAGAATATCTGGGAATGAAGTTTCAGAGTAGGTATTTTTTAAATCTTGCAGGATTTGCGAAACATGGCACCATCCGCCATTTCCAAAACTTGCCTAGAGACAAGAAGGGCCTGGCGCACTTATTTAAAAAACAGATTCCTGAGCTCCAACAGATACACTGATTCAGAATTTCCACGGGAGGGCCCTGGTCAGCTGCAGAGTTAACGTGTTCCCCCAGGTAAATCTTATTATCAACTTTAAGAGAAAAAGGGAGAGAGGAGCCAACTCCAGGCAGTTGCTTGTTGAGTTAAATGTGACACCAAACAACACAGCTATCCCCCTCTTGGGTGTCCCCAGCAGAAATGAGTACTTACGTCTGCCAAAAGGCACGCATGAGGATGTCCCTAAAAGCTTTCTTCATAATGTCCCAAACTGGAAACCTCCCCAGTGGCCGTCCAGGGGAGCATGGCTAGATGGACTGTAGCAGAACCACACAACGGACTGCAGGGTGGCGGCGAGAAAGCATGGAGTGCTGACAGACACCACAACACTGGTGCATCTCCCAGACCTACTGCTGAGTGTGAAAAGCCAGACATAGACTGTTCAGGTGCTATCTGTATTCAGTTCAAGGACAGACCAGACTGAGCTGTGGTGATAGGGATCCAATAGCGGGTACTTCTGTGTTTGTGTTTTTGTGTGGGCGGGAGGTTTTAGAGCTTGATGGGGCGAAGATACGTGTGTGTGTGTGTTCTGCTCCCTCCTAGGATGCCATGCACATAGCAGGACGTATCTGCCTTTGGAGCCCACTTGAGAGGCCTTTGCTTGCTTGCTCCTTTGGTTAGTGCTTATTTGAGATATACATTATACATTGAGATGTATACAATAAAATGAGCACATCTTAAGTGTACAGCCCAGTGAATGTTCACACATTTACATTGAGTATTTGGCCTTGTGCAAAGTGTTCTTCCAGGCTCCTGGAAATGGAAGCCAAGGCTACTTAAGACACAGATCCTGTTTGTGAGGGTTTTATAATCTGGGGTGGGATATTTGACAATACAAGACAGCAGAGTAAGTTTTCATTCATTCACTCAGCATGTGTTTTGTGAGCACCTACTATGGGCCAGGCACTGAAGTCAGCCCAGGAAATGCAGCAGTGACCAAGATCCGGCCCTGCCCTCATCGTGCTCAGAGTCTACTTGTTGAGTTTTGGAGCACAGCACGACGAATGGCTAAATACACTTATTCCAATTCTTAAATATTTCCTGAATTCATTCTGATCTTCTCCCACGGACCCTGGCCTACTCCAGGCCCCTACTGTCTCTACTCTCTGGGCTTATAGTAGTTTTCTGGCCTGCTGTGTTTCCAGTCTTCCACCTCTGACTCATTCTCCAGGCCAACAGCCCCTATTTAAGTGCGCAATCTAAAAATTTCAGTTAATGGTTCCCCGTGTTAATGGTGTCAACCTGTGTGGGCTTGAATCCTCACTGAGAGGGTCTATATTATGACCACAGCCACATTCTTTAAATGCCCTGAGCCTCATGTGTGCTTTCTGTAAAATGGAGATAAAAGAGTAATAACGATAAACAAAACACCACCACCACCACCGCCTATCTCCCTGAGGAGGTTGAGCTTTAATCTGTCACAACAGGTATTCATACAGCAGGTGCTGAACCTTCGCTGCACCCCTTGTTTCTCCTGCTTCTCTGCACGACCCAATAATGTCGAGGTGCTTCTATGCATGGAAACGCCCTTTGCTTTCAAGGCCCCGAGCTCACAGTGCTTCTTCTGTCTGGAATGCCTTCCCTCTACCTTCTCCTGGCTGGGTCCTGACTCAGCTCGGGACTCAGCCCAGGCCCTACCTCTTCCAAGTAGCCCTCCCATAAGCAGCATATGGAGCTGAGTGCCCTTGTCTGGACCCCCATGACACCCTGGATTGAATTTGTCTGTTTGCCTCCTGTTTCTATTTGTCTCCACTTGCTCAAGTGTGAGCTCCTTCCGGGCAGGCCTGAATCAAAGGCCTCTTTATGCCCCCAGCTGCGGACCCTTCCTGCTCAAGGCAGACGCTGGATGTGTCCACGGACTTGAGCAGAACATGCCAAGCGCTTTCTTAAGGCAAGTGGCCTTTGATTTGGCCTTGAGGCATGGATAGGACTTTAAAAACTTATTTGAAAACAAAGTGTACATGCACACAATACCAAATCCAAGAGGAACAAAAAGGCTTACAGTGATAATTAAAAGTAGGTCACCTCTCAACCACCCAGCACGCCTCCCCAGAGGCCATCATTGGTATCAGTTTCTGAGTACTCTGTGCAGGCAAGAATGGTCTCTCTCCTCCCCTACACACACACTTTTTTTATTTCACAAAAATTTAAACCAACAGAAAAGTTACAAGAATAGTGCGATAAACACTCTTTGCCTAGATTCACCAATTAACATTTGGCCACATCATGCAAGATATTTCACAAGCATTATATCATGTAATGCTCACAACAACCATATAGTCATGCCAATTTTGTAGATGAGGTAACTGGGGCAGCAGGCAGGTGAAGGGACTTGCCCAAGGCCACAGAGCTAGCAGGGGTGGAGCTGGGCTTCCCCCTTAGGCTGCCACAGGACTTTGATCCACCTTCCCTCTGCTTGCATTGGAGAAAAGCATTTTCTCACACTAAGTTGAAATCCACCTCCCTGGGATATTCACCACATGATCAGTGGAAAAGTACACAGCTCTGGAAGCATTTGCTACTTCTCCTAAAACCTTCCCATCCCCTAAGCAACAGCTGCTGTCGCTGCTGTTAACACATGCTTCAATGTCACCTCCTCTGCGAGGGCTGGGTTAGCTCACCCCACTGTTTAAAAACTCCCGTGGTCTACTCCTGGCTGCCAGCAGAATGACATTTACACTCCTGAGCTTGGAATCCAAGGCCCTGGGTGATCTGGCCCCATGAATCCCTTTAGCCTCATCCTTCCTGCTCCTTCTTCCTCTAACCTCCACCTCCAGCCCCTCTCAACCTCTCACCATCTGCTTAAGTTTCCCCTCCTCCTCGAAGCCACCCCTAATTTCCCCAAAGAGTGCATTTCCCCCTTTCTGGGCTCCTGAATCTTCTGCCTGTATCTCCTTTACAGTCTTCTCCAGGCGGTTTTTTGGTCATGAGACTGGATGGCGGAGGATTGGAGTGACAGTTCGGCCCCTCCTGCACAAATTACTTCAGAAGTCTGAGCCTTAATTTCCTCAAACACATAATGGGGGAAAGAATGCCTACCTCAGTACCTGGCATAGAGTCAGCCTTCACTGATCTCCCATAATAGAAGTGACAGCTCTTCAAGGCTGACATCCCTTAGTCATCCCTTGAAACTCTACCTCTTATTTCTTAACTTCTCTGAGCCTCAGTTTCCTCATATGTAAAATGGGGATGATGATGGAGAGGCTGTGAAACTTTAATGAGCTAATGAGTATCACGCACTGGAAACAGTATCTAGTCCGTATTAATAGTGCTATGACCACTACCTCGCGGGGGGTGGGGGCGGGACTGGCACACAGTAGGTGCTAAATGAATCCGCTCAGAGCTGGGCTCGGGTGTCGGGAAAGGGTGCGGGAAGGCGAGGTTGGAAGTGAGAGGTTTGTAGAGCCAGCCGGGAGGTCGGCTCCGCCCCTTCCCCCATGGGCCCCCGCCCCAGCCCCTGCAGCTGTCAGGACCCAGCCAGTTTCGGCGCCAGTCCACCAAACCTGAACGTCCCATCCCGGCGCCCCCACCTTCCCTCGCCTACACAAGTTACCTTGCGCCCGGCTGCCCTTTGTCCCCACCCCCGATTTCCATTGGCCAAAGGTTTTCTTTGTTAGCTGGAGCGCGCCCCTCCCATTGGCCGGCAGGGCTGCCGATCGCGTGGAGGGCG